TCCCTCAGATAATTAGTGGCCTTTGGGATATGCATATATCCTGGAGCGCCTGGGCAGTTTCACACATATGCTTAAAGTGAACGTGAAGATTTGAGCCTCTTGATTTGCATGATTTTGTGGGGTTTTCTGAGTCAATAGAGGAGTGAACCATTTTTATACCTCACCTCAGGTCCCTCACAGGAAGAGCTCTCTCCCCCTTTGAAGGCAGGGTCTCACTACATAGTCTAGGCTGGCCTCGAACTTGTGACCTTCCTTTCCTCAGTCTCCCAAATGCTAGGATTACAGGCATAAGCCACCACATCCAGCAAGGGTGTATTTTTTTTTTTTTCCAGAGCCGGAGATTGAACTCAGGCCCTTGTGCTTGCCAGGGAAGTGCTTATTCCACTGGGCCATCTCCCCAGCCCCTAAATTTGTTCTTCTAATGACCAAATCTAACAAACAGCTTAAGAAACTTACACTCAGGACAAAGACATTTAAATCAGAAGGGGAACAAGGGAGAGGAAGAGAGAAAGGAAGGAACAAGGAAAAAAGAGAGAGAATAGGAGGGAAAAAATGGAAACAAAGGAGAGAAAGAGGGGTTGAAGGGAGAAGGGGACAGGAAAAAAAGAAGCAGCAAAATAGATCATGTACTTGTACAAATTCTGTATAAGGAATGTTACTATTATGTGTATCTGACATGTACCAAAAAGAAAAGAAAATTGTATCCAAAATCCCAGATCTGGAATGGCTGACCTCCCACCCCAAACAGATGCCCCAAAACGAAGCTCAAGCCTAGTCCTATCACTCTGAGCCCATGCCACCCACCACAGGTCTCATTTGTTCTGCAAGGAGGACCAGCCCCTCGCTGCACCCAGCCTGCCTAGCTCTTCTGCTCCAGGCGCATCCATGTCACATGGGAAGACTCTGGCCCAGGACCCAGGAAGGACTGGAGTGGGGACCATGCTTGCTCCTGGGAGATGCTCAGCCCAGTCACTCCCCACCCCACAACCAGTCTCAGAGATGCCCTTTCCCCTCTGTTCCCACTCTGTATCCCACGATCAGCAACACCCCCCCACAACCCCACCCTGTCTTCCCCATCACTGCCTGCCGGCTGCCTGAGAAAACAGGAAGCAGAGGGCTGGCGCTGGGAGCAAGTCCAGGAAGTGCCGCTTATCTCAGGCCACAGTCCCGACCCCTGGCTTCATGCCGGGCAGGGGGCGCCAGGGGTGGCCCAAGGACAGGGACTCCTGGCCGCCTCTCCTGAGCCACAGTTGTCACAACTGGCCTATGGGGAAGCAGACAGCAAGTTGAGGGGATGCCAGTCAGTGCCCCAAGGCACACCAGGCTGGCATCCCCTCCATAGTCAAGAGCAGAAGTCCTATTCTCATAGCCAGGAAGTGACCCTGGGCCATCCCACATCCCCCACAGCCCACGCTGCCATTCTGGCCCCCAAGGACCCTCCATTCCATTTCCCCAACAAGGGCTCTCTTTCCAGGGCAGGTGCAACCTCCCTGCTAGTTCTTTTGGATCTTAATGGGGGAGGGGGTGTTTGTTTCTGTGTTTACAAAGCTGTTTCTTTTCCTGGGGAGGGGGCAGGATGGGGGCTTTCCCTGCCCCCCCCATAGGGTCCTGAAGGCCACTAGAAGGGACAATAGGCTTCAGCACCTGGTACCTCCCAATGGGCATGTGCTTCCGGAGGAGGGGGCTTGTTTGTTTCCGGCCAGCCACGGCAGAGGCAGGCAACCTCCTTGCACACCTGTGGGTCTTAGGACTCCACACTCATGTTCACATGCAAAGGGCCCAGAAGGCCAAGCATCCTCCAGGTCTGGGAACAGGTGTTTCCTCGTCTTCCTGTCCAGTCCACAGTGCTGCCCCAGCTTCTCCGCTCACTTGCACCCTCCCTACCCAACTCAGTTGCATGCACATAGGGCACCCAGAAGATGCTGCCCATTTTCCTTACCTCCCCTGACTCCACTCAGCAGCACTCCTTGGTGTAGGGGATGTAGGGGTGGGGTGGAGAAGGTGCCAGCCTTGTCCAAGAGAGACTGCAGCCCTCACCCCCTTTGGAGGTGGGGCAGGGGTGGGAACATACAAGTGGCAAATTTAGGATTAACTTGGTTTTGCTCACTCAGGGACTAGCCTGTCACTGGCTCTCCAGATGTTCTTTCAAAGGCTCCCAGTTTAGGAGGCCATGGGACCCAGGGCCCTTCCTCCCAGCTCCACATATGTGGGGGATTGGCTTCCCTGCTACAGGAAGTTGCACAACCCAACCGGTGCCCTGCGGGGTCCATCTGGCACCCTGGCACAGTCCGCTTTTATGGGCTATTGCCCCCACCTCCTGGAAACAGCTGAGCGCCAAGAAAGCGACTGTGGGCTGGGACCATATCACGCACAGCCCCAGTTGTGTTTGAGTCCCACTGCATCTCTGAGTGGGTTTTGGCCAGTTCCAGCCAGCAGATGAGCGGCTTGTGTTCTGACTTGTGCTGCGTACAGGTGAGGAAGACATGCCCTGCCTTCCTGCAGCTCCAGAGGCACAGGGGACACCTCCTTGGATCTCTGTGCTAGGCCTGAGTAACCTGTGTCTCAGGTTTGCACAGACACCTAATGTCTGCTCTAGTCTCTGAGACTCTGCAGCTCTGAGCCTGTCTGTGTGACTACATATTGTTTGTTTTTGTTTTTGTTTTGGGGGGTACCAGGGATCCAACTCAGGACCTTGTGTTTGCCAGGCAGGTGCTTATGGTGCTGAGCTATCTCTCTGGCCCCTATGTGACTGCACTTGCCCAAACCTTGCAGGAGGAAAGATGCTGGGGGGGTGGGTTGCAGGAGGCCTTCAGGTTAATGGTGGCAGGTACTCCACAGAGGAACATGGACTGGCTTCTCTCCACACCATGTGGTTGTGGTCCAGGACTCAGCCACCAACATGCTCCAGAACTCTAGACAGCCCTCCTCTGGCTCCCGTGAGGAGGTGGTTTGTTTGATCCTTCTGTCACAGGGATGGGGGTTCCCTGTTGCCTACCCACTATCCAGTTCTGATGACTCTGAAAAGGGAGCACTGTGGGTGGGCAGCAGTTTTGGGACACCTGGGAAGCCATGCTCAGATGCCTCTCACAGAGATGCTCTCCCGAGAGCTGGAGAGGCCCAAGTACAAGCAGCCAGATTAGTGGCTGGCTCCCACACGGAGGACTGTGCCTCTAGGCTGTACCCTGCAGACACCTCCCCACACTGGGGCTTCTCCCCACCTTTACCAAACTTCCATTTAGCCACCCCCCATCAGGTCCTGCTGCCCTGCATCTTAATTCCAACAAAATTGGGCCTTTTTCTCTCACTCAGGACACCTGACTACACCCAGCACACCTCTCAGGACCTTTGAAGGGAGCCACATTTGGTCCACAGCTCCCCCATCAATGTTCCACAGTTGAGGATGAGGCTGCACTAAGCCCTTGGGCAGGACCTGGATCACCCCTTCCTGTTCTATCTCCCATCCACACTGAAACAGGCCTGGCTTTCACATGCTCCCTTTGCTGAAGCCCTTCCATTCATGTGCACGGGTCCCTCCTGATACCCTTCCAGCCCCTTGTACAGCCCCCATGGTACAGGAGATGCAAAGGAAGGTCTAGAGTTCTCAGCCTGTGCGCTAAACATTTAAGGAACCAGAATGCACACAGAAGTCAGAGAGCCCACTTCTGGTCCTCACCCTCGGCCTGGGTCTGGTCCTGGCACTCACAGATGCTGGGCTTTGTTTTTTTTTTTTTAAAATATTTTTTTTTAAACATTTATTTATTTAGTGTGTGTGTGTGTGTGTGTGTGTGTGTGTGTGTGTGTGTGGCCAGCTCAGCCCACCAGGGGGCGGGGCTGGCTGGCATGTGGTGCTGGGGGATTGAACCGTGGTCCTTGTGCTCTGCCAAGCTTGTTCCAAGTAGGTGCTTTAGACCACTGAGCCATCTCGCCAGCCCCGATGCTGGGCTTTGTGATCTGAGTACCCCACCCCCAGCCTCATCACCCTCGCCTGTGAAGTGCAGGCAATGGCTCCTGGTAGGCAAACCAAGCATGTGCCCAGAAGCGGGGTCAGGACTCTTGCTCTCACGGATTGTCCTACCAGGGCTTTCTGTGTCTCCTGCTCGGCTGTCCCACAGGCACCAGGCCTGTCTCAGCCCCTGGGCCACTCCTGTTCAGGATGTGAGGCCAGGTGCCCAACCCACAACTGTGGACCAGGATGAGGGAAGGGCAAACAGCCAGGGCTGTGTGGACACTAGGGACCAGCTGGCTGGTCCATAGACGTGGCTGGGTCGCTTTCTGAAGCCCCCACCCCCACCCCCGAAGTGGCCACCACTTGGGCAGCAGGAAATGGCCTGGCCAAGCTCAGCCAGGGCGGTAGGGCGGCTTCCCCTCAGGCCCATTTCCTTTATCCGGTTGTTTTGATCTGAATTCACCATGCTCAGCCTCCCCTCCCCTCCATTTCCACCCTCCTGCTTCACCCTGAGTGGATGAGGACAGACGCATGAAGCATCGCAGCGCCCCCAACCGCAGGGCGCAGGTGGGCGGAACCTTCCGAACAGCCACCAGCGTCCAGAGCGCGCCCCCTGTTGCCGGAGCTGGGAGAACCAGCTCCGCCCTCACCGAGGTGCTGCGGAAAGCCCACGGGCCTCAGCCTCGCTTCTCAGATCCAGGAGCCAACGGGCGGCCCAGGCGCGAAGCCAGGCAGATGAATTGGGAGAGTGGGCCTGCAACACTACCTGGTTTATTAAGACCTCCCTCGCTTCCTGGAAAGCGGGCCACCTTGCGTCGGGTTGGGTGCGGCTCGCTTCTTTAAGTCCTGGGTCCCTTGGAGAACATGAGCTGCATGGAGGGAAGGGTTGAGGCCCTATGCAGGCTCAGATGAAGCCCACTCCCAATGAGGCCGTTGCTACTCCGCCTACCCTCCATCCACCCCACTCCAGTCCTCTGCCTCCCAACACTCGCTGGGGAGGGGTGGTGGCGGCGGGGGGAGGGACCAGGGGAGGGGCAGCATCAGGCGGCAGCCTTTAAGATTTCCTGGTGGCCCTGGCACGAAGAGCGAAGAGCTTCTCCCAGCAGGTGGCGACTGTGTCCAGGGCGCGCAGCAGGAGCCGCCTCTGGCTGCCTTGACGCCAACGCTGCTGCTGGGCTGGGCGCATCCTGGGCCGCCGGCTCTGCTGTGGGAAGTGCAGTCAGAGAGTGCTCCATTGCCTGCGCCCACCCCGACCCCGCCTAGTGGGCCCCGCGTGAGTCCCCAGCCTGCGGGCCATGGGCAGCGTGGAGCCTGCGGGAGAGGGACGGGACGCACACCGGTCGTGGCATCCAGCAGTGACGACGCATCACTGCCTCGGTGCGAATGGCCACCATCCACACGGCTCTCTCGAGGGCTCCACGGCGGTCCCCTGATACTGCCCCACGCAGGGTCCGACCCAGGGACTTAATGGACAGTAGGATACTGTGTTCCTGGGGAGGGAAAGGAAGAAAGCTGGGGGACAGAGGCACCAGGGAAAGAGACAGGTGCACATAGGTGGGGCTCTGCTCCATACCTCCTGGGCACCACAGGAGACCTCAGGCCATCCCAGCCTTTTGCTATCCCCCGTCAGGTTTTTCCGAATGAAATGGTGTCTGAAGCCCCGTGTCCTTTGGGCCCCTGGCTCGACCTGCTTCATGGCTGCATGTAGGTCCTCAAAGATGACAGCGCGATAGTGGTGGAGTACGTCTGGGACGCTGCAGGAGCGCAGCTGGGCCCAGCCCAGCGCAAAGCCCAGAAGCGCCAGCTGGAGTGCCCAGAACACGGACTTTGAGGGCACCTGTAGGAGTGACAGGTCAGGGCTGAATTGTAGGGCGATTCCCAGCGGGAAACACAAACTAGGAGATACTTTGGGCTGTTCCCAGCCTAAGCCAGTACAAGATGGAGATGTGAGTACTCAACAAAGGCTGTGGGTGCAGGTCTAATAGACCTTGCCTTCTCAGGGGAGGAAAAATAGGCCTGTAGGTGCGGTAGGAGACTATCAAGGGAACTTCACTGAGACTTAAAGGACCAAGAAAAGGGCTGGGGAGATAGCTCAGTGGCATAAGCACCTAAGTCCTGAGTTTGATCCCTAGTAGCACAAGAAAAGGAAAGCAAGCAAGCAAGCAGGCAGGCAGACAAAGGGGACAGGTCCAGAGGGAGGGGGCTAACATTAGCATACCTGGGATAAATGTAGGCAAGGGGTGGAGCACCCACAAGACGGTAGAGGGAATGACTCACTTAGCTCTGCACACCTGGTGTGGCCAGCTTTGGGGTACAGCAGGAAGTTAGCCACAGTGTAGCCTCACACCAGCCAAGCTCACATCCACACCTCCTAGCCACAACCCACATCCAGAACTGCTTACTTTCTCTGAGTCCTCCACCTCATGGCTCCTCTGCGCCCTTGGCCAGGGTCACACCTGTCTCCTCCCCAGCTAGGGCAAATTGCTGCACACCTTTGTGGCTTAGCAGCTCCCACCTCCACCAATCCTTCTGCTAAAACCAGCTATGAGCCACAGGAACTGCGGAGGGCCCTGCCCATGCACCCCGAATCGAACTGAGACAGAGGCCAGCACTATTAAGCTCCAGGTCACACTGGTAGAGGAAAACTAAGGAACCTCCAGAGGTCACAGGAAGGGGGCACCATATCATACTGCCAGCACAGCTGCTCCAAAGGTCCCTACCCTCCAGAAGAAAAAACTTGCTCTCTGGGGAAGAAGCCGATGTGTCACAGACAGCTGATGGTTTGCCCTCAGCCTCCAATAAGGCTAGTTCCCAAATCTGCCTTGGGCCCCAGGCTGGAGTCAGCCAGCCAACTTAAGCTGGAAAATTAATCATGTGAACCCAGCGAGATGACAGGACTCAGCTTCCCAGCTCAGGCAGGGGCGCCTGAGGGAGCACACCCAACCCCGCCTAAAGCTGGGAGTGTGGGGACACTAAGCAGCAACCACTAAAAGAACAGTTTACTAAGAGTCCTTGAAATCTACCACGCACCATGGCTAGCAAAGTGGGCCCAGAAGTACCCATTATCCCTCTGCCTGCTGTTGATCAGTCTATGAGCAGATCAGCGGGGGCTGTTGGATAAGTGTCCAGCACTATGTCTTATACCGGGCATTAAGGCCCAGATCTTACTCAGCCCATCATAGGGGAAAAAATTCTGGGAAGACCAGGGTGCAAGCACTCACAGCTGGTCTGTCATAGGAGCCATCAGGTACAGATTGGGGCCCCCTTGGCCCAAGCCACCCCCACCCTACACACCCACCCCCCAGCTGCTCACCATGGGCCTCTCGGGGTCTTGCCCTCTCTTACTCCCTCCAACCGGCTGTGCACATGGTCACTAAGGTCTACAGCAGTGTAGACAGCATTCAGGGGCCACAGCAGGTCCAACATGAGCCTGCAGGGCCTCCCTGCACAGGACTGCAGTAGGACACGCGGAGAAGCTTTTGAAGTTGGCTCCTCTAGCAAAGGAGGGAGGGAACAAGAGGAGGGGAGGGGAGAGGCCAGCAACCCAGCCCTGCCCCCTCCCTCTCACCTTCTACCCAATCACTTCAATTAATTTAACCCTGGAGCCCAGTAGCTGTAATAGGGCTTGGACTGTGTTAGCCTCAGGAGGACCCTTCTGTCTAGGGGTAGCATGTTCAGTGGGCACAGGGTAGTGTGGGGGGCAGCTAGTGGGTGAAAGTGCAGGGCAGGAGTGCCAGATTCTGTCTCTGTGGTCAGCAGCTGCTACATTTCCCAGGACCTGACTGACGAGCAGAAACTAGTAATAGGCAGGACTTAAATGCCTGCCCACAACACCAGCCCCTGCACCCTGATGTCCGGGCAGTCCTGCTAGCAGGTCCCAAGACCAAGGACTTCCCAAGGCTCCCATTGCTGGCTCAGTCTTGCCCCTCCTGGAATGAAGGGGTCTTTCACAGGTGGGAGAATTCACAGTCCCTGAGTTGTTTTGCCTTAAAACAAGAGCACTGGGGCCGGGGAGTTAGCTCAGTAGAATAAGCGCTTGTCTGGCAAGCACAAGGGCCTGAGTTCAATCCCTGGTTCTGGAAAAACAAAAACAAAAACAAAAAAAAACACCTTCTGGAACATAGTTCACCTTTACTTTGGGGGTGGAAAAATTTCAGCTTTAAAAAAAGCTAAGGTGGGTGGGGGCGGGGGAGATGGCTCAGTGGAATAAGCCCTTCTCAGGCAAGCACAAGGGCCTGAGTTCGATCCCTGGTTCCGCACTTAGAAAAGCTAAGGTGGGGAATGGACACAGCTCAGCAGCACAGTGCCTGCCTGGCACATGCAAGGCAGGTCTTGAGTTCAATTCCTGGTACCCACACCCTCAAAAAAAAAAAAAAAAAAAGCTAAGGTGGGCCAGGCCTGTGGTACACACCTGTAATCCCAGCACTTGGAAAGCTAAAGCAGGACAGAGTCATCCTAATGAAAAAGAAAGAAAAGCTAGAAGAGCCCACAGTGGCTTCCTGTTCTCACATGTCAGCAGTGAGTGGGTACACAGACCAGCAAAGGACCCCCTGCAGAAGGACTATGACCACCACTGCAGGCCCCATCACAGGTGCCACAAAACATACAGGGGCCTCTGGGCACATCTCTTATGAAGAAAGGGAAAAGCTGTTACCCAGAAAGCAGATCTCAGAAGGCTGCCCCTTGTCATCCCACACAACTGCATCTCTTCTCCCCAGCCAATGTGAAGATCATCCGCTTGTTCTCTAGACCTAGACCTCCAGCCAGACGTCACCAGCACTGCCCTCACACCTTCTTTCAAGCCTGCTGGATGGTTCTCCAGTGAATGGACTCACACAAAAGAGCCACTGCCCAAGGAAACCCTTTATCCTCACATAGCATAAAAGCTGCAAAGCCAAGTCTCTTGGGTATCTGTATCTCCTCTGCATCTGCATCTCTGGGAATTGAACCCAGAGCCTTTCCACTGAGCTACACCCCCAGCCACCCTTTTTTGTTTTGGCTTAGGGCTAAATTACTAAGTTACCAGGCTGGGTTTGAACTTAAGATCCTCCCACCTCAGTCTCCGAGAGCTGGGACCGTAAGCATGGACCACCACACCTGGTTAAGTAATACAGTTTTCCAACTAGCAATAAAGATAGTTACATAGCCAGGAGTGGTAGCACATGGCTGTAGCTTCAGGACTCAGGAAGCCGAGACAGGAGGATTGTAGGTTTGAGCCCAGCCAGGGCAACTTGGATTCAATCTTGAAAAAAAGAAAGGATATAGCTTAAGAGTGAAGGCCCCAGGTTCAATCCCCAATAAAAAAGTTTCTTCAGGATAACATTGCATGAGTTAGTAAAACCAGACTCATCTGGGACAGTGAGACGACTTCCTGCTGGTGACACTCTCACAGGGGTTTTTGAAGGCAGTGTGCACAGACCCAGCTCCCAGTCACACTCCGAGAGGCTCTGACTACCTCTCGGCTAAGACCCTGATCCCAGCATCATACTCAGACCCAGCCGCCCCTGGAGAGCCCACCGATGGCTGCATGGGGCTCTGGTTGTCTAGACACAGCCCCAACAGTCCCTTACCCGGTGCGTACCACCCTGCCAAGTGCTTCATCCCACTCACAGCTTGGTCCCATGTGGCCTCTGACCTGCTGTGTCAGACTCCTGAGAAGACGTCCTGCTGTCTTGTGAGCCTGCACTCCCACCACCCTTTCCACCAAATTTCACCAAACCCTGGTACTCCTGCCACACTTCCTCGAGCCCAGACCAGAGCTGCTGCTTCCACACACTCACACGCAGGAAGATGGACTGGGACTGCAAAAACATACCCCAGGGAAAAGGCCGCAGAAACCTAGCAAGGCTCCAACCCTGATAGGATACACAAAAATCTTTTAATAAATGAAGACAAGTATCTGAGGCCCCGTGCACCCCACCCATGTGCCACTCCCACAGGCCCCTCAGAAGGTATTCTTGATGCGAGCAGCCACCAGCACCAGGATCTCCCCAATCTTCCGCTGCCAGTTGGCGATGTCCTTGGACACAGTGCACCAGAGCTCCCCGTGCCGGGGCTCTGCGTTCTCACAGCGTTTCCTCACCTCCTCTTGCTGCTCCTGGGGGAGGAACCAGACAGGCCTTCAGGTGGGACACCTCTTGGGCTGTCCCCAAGCCGCACCTCCCTTACATCTGCCTGCTCCCAAGACCCAGCCCCAAAACAGCACTCAGCCCAGCTGGTAGGATGGAGGGCTCCTGAGCTGCCCAAGCCTGAGGAGGAGCTCCCCTGCAGTCCCAGAGGCCAGGACACTGACAAGAAGGCACTGCATGATAGCTGGGCAGCCTTACCTCAGTGCCGTGCTGTAGCTCAAACTTGTAGAAAAAAGCCCACGCATCCCCCAGATCAGAATCAATCTTCACTGTGCGGTGGAACCACTCCCGGGCCTTGGTGATCTTCCGTTCACTCCAGAACAGCCTGTGGTAGGAACGGAGTAACAGGCATCAGAATAAGAGAGGCAAGTGGCCCTGCAGGGCCGTGCACAAGGCCTGGAGCACCTTCACCCACCTGAGTGCTCCTCAGCTATGTCCCACACCTGCAGCCCCAGCACAAGCCGTGAGGAGGTCTGCACAATGCTCCTGAGCTGCCTGGAAATCACCCAGCTGTCAGCCACAGCTGTCCTTCAAATACATGTGCGCACTGTTTCTTCAAACAAAAGGTTCATCTAGATCAAGACTGTCTTAGTTACTCTTCTCTCATTGCTGGGACAAATACCCGACACTCAAAATGAAGGAAGGAAAGGTTTATTTAGCTCACAGTTACTGGAGGCTTCAGTCCATACTCAGCTGGATCCAAGGCAGAGCAGCACAGAGAAGAAAGCAACCTTTCATGGCCGCGGCAAAGAGCAAGAGCGCAAGGGAGGGGTAGCAGCAGCTCAAGCAGCTAGCTCCTCTTCCCTCCTTACATTGTAATGCAAATCACCTGCCCCAGGGTAGGGGAATTACTCACACCTATGGGTACTTCCCAGTATTTACCCACCTATGGGTAATCCCAGCAGTACTAAAACCCATAATCCCAGCCTTGGATCACACATAATCCCAGTGGATCATGAGTTAACACAAACTCTACAAGTCCTCACCACATGACTGCATGAGGCTGTGGGGGGACAACTAGACACAAACCATAACAAAGACCTTCAACCCCTGGGTGGCAACTTGAGCAGCCACTAAAGCTCTGATTCGCACTGTGATGTTCCGGCTATGGCTCCGGAAGATGTGACACCTACTGGACCACTCAACTCTCTTCGCAAACCAAGCCAACACTCGGAAATTAGGCTGTCATTAGCCTGTGGGTCTGACCTTGCCAGAAGCTGCAGCCCGACAGCACTCAGACCATAGCATGCATGCCTAGGCACCTGCCTGACACCCAAAGGTAGGCTGGAAAGGGTCTACGCTGGAAGCCAAGTGTAGACTACCAGAAACCAAGTGGGGGCCCCATGACAAACATGGGATGGCAGGGTAGACTGCATGTGTGATGGGCCTTTCTAGTAGCTCGGGACTCGCCTGCTTCCACCTTCTACAACTCAGCTTGAGTTGAGAGGCACTGCACAAGCTGATGGCCCAGGTAACCCTTCCACTCCTGGCAGCTGTCTGTGCTGTTCTCAAGTTCCAAACAGAGTAATTTCACACTGTGATAACTTGATTATTTTTTAAGCCTCATGGCACTCTTTAATTGCTTAGTGTTAGATAAACTATGATTTAAAGAGCACAAGCTCAGATAGCAGACACATGGAACACTGGCTTGGCAACTGCAGGGAGTGACTTATTTACTTTAGCAAAGACTTTTACAGCGTTTTACGGCTGCCCTATCTGAGAGCCAGATATAAGTCACTCTAGGATAAAAGAGCACAAGGACAGGAGGACGGAAGCCAGGTCAGACACAAGCCAGATCCCAAGAAGCCTCCCTCATCTTCAGGGGCTCAGGCACTGACAAGGTGCACAGGCTGCCAGAGCCCTAGAGACCCAGGGCCACCCAGAAGCCACCAGAACAGCCCCGGAAGCTGTGCTCCTGCATGCTGCGCCAAGCAGGGGATATGGAGGCAGGCGGAGAGGTGGGGGTGAGACCACAGCCCCAAGGCAACTGCTGCCCTGGGCACCAGACACAGGAGTCCAAGTGGGAGCCCCAGGACTACTCGGTCCTCTCTGAGGTCTCCTTCATACCGCTTTGTGTGGTTACTGTTGGCTTCCCCATCATACTCAGGGTCAACTCTTCAAGTGGCTTCCTCTTTCTAGGGAGCAGAGACCCTGTGGGGTTAGAATGGCTCTACAATCTGGCAGCTACAACCTTGTATCATCTTCTAGATGCCCTTCATGGCTCCAGATCTGTCTCCCAGAGAGCCTGGGCCAGCACCAGTCAGCATTGGTCACATGCTTTGAGGTCAGTGCCTGAACGCTTCTTCCCGTAAACATCATGCTGGAAAGATGGACTCTAGTTGGCTATCTCTATCCCATTCACAAGGATTAGGTGCAGCTTCTCAGAGCTAGAAGTCTGACTTTTTTTTTTTTTTTATAATTTTTTAAAAAATTTTATTTATTTATTTATGTGTGTGTGTGTGGCCCGCTCAGCCCACCAGGGGGAGGGCCTGGCTGGCATTTGGTGCTAGTGGATTGAACCACGGTCCCTGTGCTTTGCTGAGCTTTTTCCAAGTAGGTGCTTTAGACCACTGAGCCATCTCACCAGCCCAGAAGTCTGACTTCTTGCCCTCATGCATAAAAATAAATTTCTCAGCTGAAGCCCCTTGAATGAAGAGGTTTTGCTTATTACTTAAATTCTATCTAACATCATCAAATCTGTCTGCCATGTAACCCAGACCATATGCAATACAAAATTAAATTTGGCAGACAAAGAGAATAGCCCCCACCAGAAACCTGGGACTTTCTGGGCATAGGCCTGCAATCCCAGGGTCACTGAGGCAGAAAGATCACAAATTCAAGACCAGGGTAGCTTAGCAAGACTCCATAGCAAAAATTTTAAAAAAGGTAGGGATGTAGCTCAGTTTGAAGGCCCTCAGCTGAATCTCCAAAACAGAAAGAAAAGAGCAGAGAGGAGAAGAGGAGGAACCTGGGACTAAGCAAGGGCCCAGGAGGACCAAGGAAGCAGAGTAGATAGACAGACACCCAACACGGGCAGCACATGCCCGAATCACCCCGAAAGACCAAAACAGAAGAGCTTAAGAGCTAAGGACGAGGGGTGCCCAGCCTGTTATTGGGCACACTTAGCACCACCAGGGAAAGGCAGACAGCAAAAAGTTCTATTAGGTCAATGGGTCACCTACCCAACAGGCCTCCCAACTCACTTGGCTACGGCCAGGAGCACGTGAGGGTCATGCTCACACTTCTTCAGGGCGTCCACACTCTTGGTCTTCCTCTGGGGCCTGGCCTCAAGGAAGACAGCTTCAGACCACAGGATACCTGAAGTTCAGAAATAAAAACCTGGAGGGCTGGGGACAGAGCTCAGCAGCAGAGTGCCTGCCTGGCAAGTAAAAGGTCCTGAATTCAAGTTCTGGTACCAAATAATAGAAACAGAGACCTGGAACTCAACCTCACCTCACCTCTGAACTCAGAAACATGACCACCCTACACAGGCTGCTTTGAAAAGGGCTTGCTTAGGAGCAGCCTAAAGGCCCCAAGTTCCCACTTTCCAGCTGCCTCATCTGAGCAAAGACCAGACAATGTTGTGGGGTGACAGAAGTATTAACAACCTTCAAGATTTCATTCCCACTAACACAGTAACTGCACATCTAAGAATTTATTGTAACAAAACAGAAATACTAGTAAAGGGTCAGGGCGATAGCTCAGTGGCTTAAGTGCCTGCCTGGCAAGCACAAGGTCCTGAGTTCAACTCCTGGTCCAAAAAAAAAGAAAATAGAAAAGAAAGTAAAGAATCACATAAAAAATAGTAATCTCAAAGCAGTATCAGATTAAACTGGAGAACAAAAAAGGGAGGAAATAGAACTTTAAAGTCTTAATAAACAGCCAACAGAGTGCTTGTTGCTGATGCATAAAGCCATTAGAAATGTTCATTCCTGAATATTTAATAGGAATCAAAAGTTCTAAGTGTTTAGCTTTCTAAAAACGTAAACAAAGGGGCCAGGGAGATAGCTCAGTAGAATAAGTGCTTGAGCGCAAAAGCCTGGGTTCAATCCCTGGTTCTGCCAAACAAACAAACTGCAAACAGAGCTGGGGGTGTAGCTCAATGACAGAACACTTGCCTAAGACACTCAAGGCCCTACACTGAATTGAATTCTCAGCCCTACAAAAATAAACAAAAAATGGTAAACCACCAAGTTGAGCACAGTCACACCTGTCTGTAATCCTAGCATGCTGGGAGGCCGAGACAGAGGATTCAAGCCCAGCCCGAGCAGCTTAGTGAGAGCAAGCACCTATCTCAAAGAAGTGGGTGAGGAATGCAGCTCAATGCAAGACTGTGGGTTCCATCCCTTATATAAGGGAGGGCGGGAGCAGACCAGTAAATATACACTATGACTAACTGTGTACAACATCTAGGTTGTAACACTACAAACAGTAAGAATAGGCACAAGCGAGCTGGGCAAAGGTGATTTCTATTTCCTCCTTTTAATTTCAAACTTCTTCATGCTGCATATGCGTTCCTTAGATACCTGGTATAAAAAAAATAAAGTTAAATCTTGAAAGAAAAAGAAATGGTAGCATGTTAGGGGATGGGGAGATGGCTCAGTGGAATAAGCACTTCTCTGGCAAGCTTAAGGGGAAAAAAATGGTAGCATTTTAAAATATGAACTAGGGCCCAGGGAGATGGCTCTGGAATAAGTGCTTCCCTGGCAAGTGCAAGGGCCTGAGTTCAATCCCCGGTTCCACAAAAAAAAAGAATTGATAAATAAATAAAATATGAACTTAATGACCAACTTTCGTGAAACTCAACTGAAATGGGCTGCACACATCCTGCCAGTCTATTAGAAGCCAAGTCCCACTCTCGGAAAATGCCCCTGCCCACTGGAGTCCAGGGAGCCCTTACCAGAGTTGGGGCACTCCTGCAATGCCTTGGCCATGAGTGTGTTGGCAATGTTCTTCAGCCCTGCACGATACTCCAGCCGCACGGATTCCAACCTGGGGAAACAGAGCCTATGGACATCCAACCACCTCCTGGCATACTCCCAAGGGCTTGTTGGAAAGCTCTCCTCTCAGTAACTATAGAAGCTGAGAATTCTGGTCTCTGAAGGGTAGAACTTGTCCACCAAAGGAGTAACACTGATGCCACAGCCACAGCCTATCAGGCCCATGGAGCTGCCCTAGCAAAACCCTGGGAATCCACTTTCTCTACAGGAATTGAGGACACCAGGACAAGCACATGCCATCCCAGGGGAGAGAGCTGCGCCTCCTTGTCAGTGTCCTCCTACAGTCTAGTCTGCCACCCTGACCTGGATGCTGCACCTCTCCTGATAACACCTGCTTCCCTTGGCAAACTCCTGCTCAGCTCCCAAGTCCTTGCCCTATGCCACCTCTTCTGTAGAGTGTGGTCTCAGCCTCACTCTCAGCCCATTATTAACTCTTCACCTTCTGGGTGCTGTCAGCATCAACCCAGCTACCAACTGTCCCACCTACCAGGCCCAGCATCCAGGGAGAAACCACGCTGCCCCTACCACAGGAGCCTGAGCTCAAACACTGCAAGTGACTCTTGCACACTTGCAGATGTCCAACAAAAAACTCAAGAGAAGATGAGTCAACAAAAGGCCCAAGACTCACCACAGCCCAGGATTCTTTGGGTTTTTCAGGCGAGACTTCTCCAAAATGGCCCGTGCTCGGGTCAGCTGCCCAATCTTCTCCTCTAGCCGGGAAAGTAAGAGCCACAGGGGTGTGGAGTGGGGGCACTTCTTTAGCTGCAGTCAGTAAGCCAAGAGAGGAGCTCAGGTGGTGTCCAGGTGCAACACGTCTTGGCTGGCTCCACCTGAGCTCATCGCAGACCTTGAGACCACAGAGATGTGTACTTCATGCTCTGCACATGGGGTTTTCAGATTTGGTTGTCTCGCACATATACATGCAGGTGTATGTGGGACTACAGCATGCATGGCTGTGCTATGTCAACATCCACCCTAACTTTTGGCAAGCCACATCCCACATGTGCCATGTTCCACACATTCCATCTAAGCACAGGCATGTGACGGCAAAAGCACAGCACCCAAGGAACCACGGTTCAGTCCAGACCCGTTTTATCAGCTGGGACCTGAACACATCCCTGCTCTCCGATTCTCCTTAGGCCCAGGAGACAATGAAAATTGCACTGTCTGGCTCCATGAGATAGGTGGGCGATGGCCCAGGGTCTTCAGACTCACCCCTTGGTTGTAGGCCTCTCGAGCCTTCTCCATCAGCTCTCCCTGCTCCTCAATCTGCCCTTTCATCATCCACAGCTTGGGGAAGTCCTCGTAGT